GCAGGAATAATAAGGAAGGTACTTTTTGTCTGGAGGGGTGTCAGAGAAAAAGAAGAGTGTCGGTTTCTATTTGCCTCAGCTATCTCCTGCACAACATTTAAACAACATTCAAATTGGGACAGTGTTGGGAGATGCCACTGGCCTTCTCATTGCTTCATCCTGCGGGCCTTTTCAGTTCAGATCTGCCTCAGAGATGCCTCCCTTTACTACTGCCTGCTCTTTTTTATTTTCTGAGCTACCAGAATCCTCCCTCCAATCCCTTGCAATGGAATAGGACGCTGTCTTGGTGCTCTTTTTCCTTTTTGTCCTACCAAATCTTACATAGATCCTTTCCATTTTGGAGGTCTTAAGGACTAACCACTTTGGGGAAACAGGCAGAGGTGAGAACAACACTTTCCTGTCTGGGCTGGAATATTCTTTCCTTGACTGTATTTTTCTAACTCTAGTTATCTCCTTTACAATATCCAGGAGTATCTTTGGCACCAGTACTTGGCAACTCTATGCTTCCCCATAGGCTGTTTTATAAAAATGCATTAATTAGCTGATTAATTGATTTATACCTTCTTACTCCAAAATCTGGTGTCAGGGATGCGTCTAGTCCATAGGGCATTTGGAGATATGAAATGGTGGACATACTTGATCTTTCAAGTATCCAAACTTGGTTCAATAAGAGGGCTAAACTGATTTTTTGGGTTAGAATGTCCCAGAGCTCAGACCTTAGATCTCTTTCTGTCTTTCCACTCATTTTTTAAAGGGAGCATGTCCAGTACCATGGCTTTAAATACTACCTTTGTATTGTTGATGACTCCCAAATATACATCTGTAGTCCCCCATGAAGTTCAGACTCATTTCTGATTATGTACTAGATCTCTCCACTGGTATGTCCATAAATACTTTAAACTTAACGTGTCAAAATCAAACTCTTTATTCTCCATAATCTAAATTTGCTTTTCCTGTAGCATTCCCAATTGCAGTAAACTGTTGCTCAGGCCAAAAATCTTTGAGTCTTTCTCTCATATGCCACATTCAATTTTTCAGCAAGTGCTAATAGATACTTTTTAAAATATGTCTCAAGTCTGCCCACTTACCATTTCCTTCAGCATTACCATTCTAGTCCCAGGCCATCATCTTCTCTCACCTTGACCACTGCAATAGGCTCATAATGGTCTTCTTGCTTCACTTGCCCTGACCCCCTGCTTTAAAACATAAATTATGTTATAGTTCTGTGCTGCTTAAAACTCAGTGACTTCCCATCAACAAGGTCTAACCTAACCTGGCCCTTGACTGCCTCTCTGTCTTCATCCTCTATGAATATCCCTTTCACTCACTCCCCTCCAGCCACACTGGCCTAGCTTTCTTCAATCAGCCTAGGAACATTCCCACCTCAGAGTTTTTGCATTTTCTCTTCTGTCTTCCTCGAACTCCTTTTCTCTAGATATTTATGTGGCTTGTTCTTTTACTTCATTTGGGTCTATATTCAAATGTTATTTCCTCAGAGAGGCTTATTTCTTTATTAGTCATCTTCAAGTAGCACCCTCCTAAATTTGCTCTATAGTTCTTATTGCTGTTGTACATTATATTAAAACTATTTGTTTTATTATCTGTGTCCACACTTGAATGCAGTCTCCATGAGGCCAGGGAGGGCAAGGGCATTGTCTGTTTTGTTCACTGCTATATTCTCAGCAGCACTTGGAACAGTGCCTGACTCATATGATATACTATATATATATATATATATATATATATATATGTATAGTGGTAAATGAGTGAATTTATGAAAAAGTGGCTGCACCTATTCTTTGAGAAGGATTGTGAAGGAATGTCCAACCTCAACAATGGATCCATAGTCTCCAAAGCACTGCTCCTGCCTCCATGCATAGATCGGTTATCTAACCAATGTATGCATGCTTTTGGCTCCATGACACTCACCCCTCTGAATCTTTTCCGGCATCAGGTCCCTCATTTACTTAATCTCACAGGCTGTACTTTCCTTCTTCATCCCATAAAAGTAGGTTTTAAAAAGAATTTTATAACCAATGCTCATACATAGAAAAAGCAGTTTTTGTTAGGATATGAGAGTTATTTCATGACAGCAATGGTGAGAACAGAAAACAAGGTAAAGGAAATTAGACACTTGGAAAAATTTCCAGAGTTCTGAAGGAACTTGCAAATATTTTGGAGAGAATATCTTTGTGAAATCATAACAAATGGGAAAGGCAACAAAAGATTGCATTTTTTACTAGTTATAATTCACCTGAATGTCACACGTCTAACATTCAGTCCAACCTGGGTTACAAGGTTTTTAAAAAGACAAAATGTCTTTAAAAAGACAGAGTTGGTTAACAATGTAGTGAGGATATTTGTTATTTGATATAGGATTCAAAGGGGTGAGTGTCATGGAGCCAAGAGCATGCATATGTTGGTTAGATAACTAATCTATGCCTGGAGGCAGGAGCAGTGATTTGGAGACTACAGACAGCATCTTACAATTAATGGTTAAATAATAATAATAATTGCAAATACTATGTGCCAGGCATTATTCTAAATGTTTTTTGTAAAAAGCTATTTAATCCTCATCCTATGAAGTAGATACTATCATGTTTATTTTCAGATGAGGAAATAAAGGGACAGAGAGGTTAAATTACACTGTCAATGTCACACAGCTAGTAACAAGTAGCCAATACTGGTTTTATTCTGATTTCAGAGTCTGTGTTCTTAACCACTGTATTATTATCCTTGAATATTTGAGGTGGGTGCTACTGAAAAATAATTGGGGTGACTGTCAAAGTTGTAGGGAGTCAGTTGTATCCTTAGCCTCAATCTCAAGAGTCACCACCTCCTTCCCAGTCCTCTGAGTCTACCCACTATATATCTCTATCATAGGTCTGGTAAACTGGCACTTTATTAGTTATTTGCTTTGATCTCAATCTTTTTCTGTTAACCTACTTTATTTAACCTACTTTAAGAGTTATATTTGATTTCTTTTTGAGCCCTTAAATTTAATTTAGTGCTTGCCATATAATGAACATTCAGTTTTTGCTGAATTAAAAAAATGAATGAAGGTTCTTTAAGTTGATTACAACTGACCCATGGTAGAACAGTTTTCCTGTGAAGTAGTGAGCTCCTGATCACTGGCAGTATTCAAGCATGGGCTAGATGCTTGAAGGGATGCTGCAGAAGGAACATCCATGTCATATGGAAATGGAAAATTAGACCAAGTTTTTTTTTTTTTTTTTTGTAACTCTGAATTATCTGATGTTCCATTGAGTTAGTTGTGATTCTTTCTCCAAACATTTGTTGAGTACCTGCTGTATTCCTGATACTACAAAGATAAATGTGGCCAAGCCAACATACATAAGGAGCTGGTAGTCAATGAGTAATTAGGAAAAGAAGTGCTTAAGGGTATAGGTGTAAAGCTTTAGTAGATAAAAATAAATAGAAAAGGATAGATTTTAGAGATGTTTTGAATAAAGGTGGAAGGGGAGTAGTAGATATGAAAGATGTCCCTAAAATTGCCTGTCTGAGAATGAATTTGGGGAGTTAAGACCACATGCTGTGTTGTTATGGGGGGATTCTTCAAAAGGGAAATATCACTATTTGCCATTAAGGTATGTGGTAGGGCTGGGTGTAATTCAGTAGATGGTAATTTGTGAAGCATTTTAAATTTCTTAAAACAAATGTGCCTTCTCTTAGTAGTCTCCAAGACCCACAAAGATGATTAAGTACTCTTCCCCTAACTCTCTGCCCCTGTAGAGGTATTAATGCAAAATGGAATAATCTGTTAAGTCAAATAAAGGTTAGCTTTCTGGTGACTAGGACAAGAGTTCTAACAGAAATGCAAAGTGATTCTTCAGTTTCTTTTCTGAATCATGTGCCTGGAATCTGTTAGGCAGTGAGGAATGGTGGTCTGTCTTTATATTACCCTGGTCCCTCATGCTGCTTATCTTTCACACATGTCCAAATATGTCTCAACAGAGAATCATCCTCTCTAGCTGGGACATGATGCCTAGGTGGGTGGGGGATTCCCCTGTTTTGTTTAAAATCAAAGTTGTCTTTGAATTTGGCTAGCATGTTTGTGATTAGTTTACTGACAATTGGTTTTTTTCTTCTTATACCATATGTTATTCCATGATTCATCAGCTTTGAGTCTGTTGCCTTGAAGGTGAAACAATTTCTTCCAATGTTGATATTTCATAATCTCATAGATAACAAGCATACGCATATGCATAGTCCTTTCAGAAGTTTTAAACATTTGGAGATGAATGAATTATGCTGCCACAAATGGAAAGGAGCAGTATAAAATTATAATGGTGGTATCCAGTCATCTTTTGTTGTGTGGTTTTGTAAACACTGATACTGATAAAGCCTGAATGCTCTACTATATTCCTTTATCTCTCCTTGTGAAATTGTTTCTGATATGTATTTGTTTATGATTTTAAAAATTTAACATTTTACTTAATTGCCTTGATTTACATGTATTTTAATATTTTAGACTGACAAGATCTTTATTTTTAGAAGTAGTGTTTAACTTCCAAATAAATGCATAACATTAGCTGTTTATATTGTAATAGTGGCATATCTTCTATATTTAATGTGTAGCAATGACTATTCAAACCTCAAGAAATGTTTTAGTTTATAATAGTAATTTTTCAAAATATCTCAATAGAATACATTACATTTTCTGAATCCAGAACAAAGCAGTTATTTCAGCATATGTGCTTTCTAAGTATTTAGAAGATTAGATTTCTAATAAACATGGACTAAATTAGGTTTCTTCATGTAGCTATCAATGCACTTATTGTGTTGCATCCTTTAGCCACCTTTCTCTTTTTACCACAATGTCAATAATTGTTTTTCAGTGAAGACAATTCTTTATAATTTCATAGTGTAGATGCATGTGTAAAATATCTGTATAAGTTGTACATTTGGAGAGAGGTTTTTTAAAGATTCTAAATCACAGCATGTCTTCTTTCCCATCTCCCCCGCTTACCTGGTTTTAGCTCCTCTTTGGTTCAGGTGTGCTGGTGTCGCTAAGCCTTTCTGGGCCGCAGCTGGAGAAAGTGGTGATTGACAGAAGCCTGGTGGGGAAGCTCATCTCAGACACCATCAGTGATGGTAATTACCCCCATGTGCAAATCAATTGCCTACATTAACAGTGGGGCAGGAGAAATAGTGTGTCAACAGGTAGACTAATTATTACCACTGGGGACTTGCAAACAAAACAAGTAATTGCTTGTAATAGCACACTTACCCCCTGGGACCAATACAAGTTTTGACTAATATTTAATATCAAAGTTTTTTTTTCTTCTTGTCAAGTGTTAAGCTTATGTTCTGAGTTGTTTTTTACTTTTTCCTTAAAAGAAGTGAGCATTGTTTTCAAAATAGGGTTTTGTTTTCATTCTTTCAAAGTTAGTTCTCTATAACTGGTACTTCAAATATATATTTCATTTCCAAATGAATTTTGAATAAATAACACAAATATACCAACACAGCCACCAGTAAACAATTGATGCTTTGGCTCTCATAGGAAGATTCTTTGTTACTAAAATCTTACGAATACTAACTTTTGAGAGATTTTGGGCTATATTTTCTAAATAATAAAGATCAATGCCTAATATACTGGATAATCAGGTCCTATTAAGTGACATCACAATCAGTCTGTAATTGGTACAAAGCACATAAGAAAAAGATATTAAGCCAGTTATTGAATAGGAAGGATACTGATATTTATTGAGCCAAAAGGCTCTGTATGCTGGGTTCCTAACCTACCTATTTAATATAAGAAAACAATTGTATAAGGTATAGTTGTTTCCATTTTTACACATAAGGAAACTGAAGCTGAGCTACTAAGGAACATGTCCAGAGTCATGTAGCTAGAAAGTGACTGAGATGAGATTTGAATACAGGTTCTGGCTGCGAAGCCCATTTTCTTTTCACTATACCGTGCTGACTTCTGAATTTTTAAAGATTATATTCTTTTTTTCAAGGTAAAAAGGTTGAGAAACATTGTATTATCATGATAGATTGAAAATGGTCAGTATCTTAAATTTAGTAATCAAAGGAAATATGTCCTAGTGGAAAGGACAGAGGTGAGAATAAAGAAATCTTCCGTCTGCTGTGTTCTCTCACTAGCTACCTCTGAATAAATCAGACAATCACGTCATCTTGAAGAAAAGAACTCTGCAGGATGGCCATAATTAGCAACATTACTGATAGTAATAAGCTGGGGTAGGATTGTAAGCATGCCATTTCCCCTTCCTTACAGGAGTATGGTGCTGAGGAAGCTTCCCTGTAGAAGAGGTTCCATTTCCATATGTCTAATTATTGACCCCTTCGTTGGTACTGCAAATAAAATACTGGCTGTGATGATTTTGTTATATTGATGCTCCTCAATGAGAAATAAAAGGAGACTTTTCAGCACAATTTGTGTCTCTGAGTTATCCCTTTTCACGTATTTCTTTTATTTGTACCCAAAATAATACACTCTCATGGGAACGTGGTAACAATGTGATTTCTTGGCAGTTCTCCAGATTCTCTTGTAATTGTGTAGATCCACTGTTGGTCACTGTTTGCATGGTCAGGGGTGTGAAAGTAAAGGAAAATGTATAAAACATTTAATAATTTCTTTATGCTAGGAACAATGCAAAGCATTTCTCAAATTCCTGTAACATGTTTTTATCAATAATTTTATGTAACATCAATAGCCCTTTATATAATCCACAAATATTAGTTATTTACCTACTTGTATGCTTAATGACAAAGCTATAGAAATTGCTAATTTTCATTATTAAATATTAACTTATGTAATGTACATATTGGGTATAATATGCTTTATTTCATCCAGCTTGTATACCCCTAAAAGAAGATTCATTGATGAAAATTTTTTAAATAAAGAGACTGGTTGAGAACACTGATCAGTATCCCCTAATAAATCCACTTTATCCTCAGATGGTTTCTATCATATAAACATAGGATTAAAGTCTTAGCACAAATAAAATGGAATGTTTCCATCTCTACATTCAGGTGTGAAATAGTTTTTTAAAAATATCTTTATAGCCCTGGTTCTAAATACATCTCATCCAGTGGTGGTCCCCAAACATCAGTGTATATTGAAATAGTCACAGGAAAAAAAATCATACATGATTAGATTGATAATTATTGTTTATTCCTAATATCTTTAATATTTTTATAAAATGCTATAATGATATTCAGGAGACTTTAGTGATTTCAATTAATATGTATGTTTGAAAGTAGCTTTTTGTAACATTTCAGTGGAAAAAATCTATCCATTATTTTATTCTAACTTGGTATTATCTAATTATGGTTTTTAGCTCTTCTCACAGACAGTTTTATCATCTTATCATTTTTGGCACAAAACAAGCTATGTTTTATTCAGTTTACCAAGAAGATGGATTCTTCTGATGTAAACAAAAGACTGGAAAAACTCTCAGCCTTGGATTATAAGGTAGATATTTTGATTTATATAGTCATATTATTAATTATTAAGGTATATGAAAGTATCTCATAAGTTGGTATTCTGCTCATTATTCTTAAACATTCTGGATTTCAGAAACACTGGAAATATTACAGGATTAAGCTTAATTAACTGCAAACAGTGGCCATTCTAAGTTTTCTTTTATACTCTCACTATGGGGGGATGTCTAACAATGGCATGTTTGGAGCAATTTATATAGTATTTATAGACGTCAAAGACAGATAATAGAGGCAAGTTACACTTTGAAAATGGTTTTCGTACTAGTGGTAGTATATATATTCTCATTTTCCCGTAAGACCCCATATCATCTTTCTAGGGTAGGATAGCTGCTCTGGTTTCCACTTCACAAAAAAAGAAAGAAAGAAGAAGGCACTTTCAAAGGTTAATAGAAAAGTGTAATAAATAAGGAGGGGGAAGAACCCTCCCCTTCCAACTATAACTGGACAAAATGCAAAAAGAAATCTCCTTCATGTGTTAGTATCTCTCCCTTCACTAACTCCAGGTAATTTGTTTCCTTCCTGTATCAGGGGCTTTACATCTGTTAAGGCAGAATTCTTATTTTAAGTGATGTGTTTAAGTTTTGCCACATTACATTTTAACTGCTGGGAAGGCATATTCTCTGCTAGGATGAGTATCTAATACATTTTCCAGGCTGTTTCAGTTCAAGGCCTCTTTTCAGCAATGACTTGTGTTTGCAAGATTGATCCAACCTCTGTGATGTGGATTTGAGACAGTTCACTGTTCACTGGGAACAGAGCTGATACACAGCTTCCTTAAAAAAGATGCACACTTATGCCATACCTGGAGCATCTACAGCAAGAGCAAAGAGTTTGAGAAGCTAGTCTGTAGCTTGAAATGTGTGTGTGTTTTTGGCAAACTAGTATTTAACCTAACCCTTTGCCCTTTGGGATTATTACTTATGAATGAGGTGGTGGTAGTGTGGGAGGATTTAGTTTTATTTAGTAGAAACATTTATTCTGAAAAAAAGATTTTTAATGTAGAATAAAATAAATGAGTTTTTCATTGTGGTAATAAACTACCATCTAGTTTTGTTTGCCAGCTTTGCGAAACTTCTGTAAAACCTTAATATAGATTTTTTAAAACTGGAAATTGGTACTACTTATTATATGTGGTTAGCCAAAACAAAAATAGTATTAGCATTCTTAAAAGGATGTTAGTTCTAGAACGGCTAACTCCAGATTTACTTGAAATACTGTTTACTTACTAAAATTGATCGGTCTTTAAAATGCACCAGTGTGTGCATTAACTCAAACCATTTAAAGTAACTGTATATAAAATTTTGAATGACTAGTTTCTTTATCTTAGGTGTGATAGCTTGATAAAATCTTCTCAACTGGAGAGTAGTAGCTACCTGAGAACAGAGAGAAACTGTAAAGATGTCATCTTTTCTTGTGAAAAGATGTGGAAAACAGATCTAGCATTTGGGTCCTTAAACCTTAAGTAAGGAAATTACTTACTTGCTTATTTGAATATGCCTTTGGATTTAGGAAAATAGGAACATTGGCACTCCATGTCATTTCTATACATTAGAGAAGTAATCTGTTTCCCTTCTGAAAGCTCATTAATTTCATTTCCTGGTTTAATATTTTAAAAATATATTTTTAATATTTAGTCAAATCTGCTATTTGTCCATTGGAAGGATATTTTAAGAAATTTGTTTATTTTACGTTCCCTCTTGGTCATCATGACAGAATATTGATAATATTAAACTCATAGGAAACATGAAATTTCCTAACATTTCATAACATAATGATTTGCATTATGTGACAACTGAAAATGTCAGTCACTCATTGTAACTCAATTTCGTCATCTAGAAATTCATAGGTAACATACTTATGCGGCAAATCAGACGTCAAAATAATGTATATGTATTTTTAAGTACTTAGCAATTTCATTGTGGTATTTCTCTCAAATAAGAAGACTTAAAACAATGATATTGAGAGCTTATATATAAGAAATTATACTTAATAGCATAAAGTACATCTGTGTTGTCTGTCATTGCCCATTTGGATTTTAAAACAAGGAAGTGGTATAGAGTATTGTACTTTTGCTTTTCTTTACAGCTGTACCATAGTTTAATTCTTTCAGATTGACATAATTTTGGCAAAGAAAATTGCAGGGTAAACATCCTTAAACTATTGACCTTTAACAAGTTTTCCTGTCTACATCTGAAAAATCCGATTCAATTTATTTAACAGTGAAGGGACACTGCGAGGAGTTAAATGTTTACCATGAGAGAACAACACTGGTAATTACTTTGATTTCAGTTCCTTTTGATGTGCATTCAGAGGATGAAGAGGTCAATAATATTATGGCCATGCAAATAGAAAAGGGTTCCTTTTGACCATCTTGAAAAAAAATAGCAGAGGATTATTAAAGCATTAACCTTGGTTTTAATGGCCTTGGTTGAGTGGTGAGATCACAATTTGGATGAGCCTGATTATTTACTAAATACAATACATAAATGCAACGGGTTCTTAACACCCATTGCACTCTGGCATTATCGCATTACTGCCATCCTTTGTTGCCTTGCAGACAGGAATATGAAAGCAATCTGTCATGTAGTGAGACTGGCTCCAGAAGCATTTCTCTGATAAGAAGACCCCCTGCCCTTTGCTAGTGTCTGGTCCAGTAGGCTTAGCCATGCGCTTAATCCCCAGAAAGTGGTTCGATTATTGCTGACCAGCAATGGCAAGATAGTTTTTTTTTTTTCTTCCAAGCTATCAACCTTCCATTAATTCCTTAAGCAGAAATACGGTGCAATCTATATTTCCTTGGCATGTGTCACACAGATGGTGCCGTGCTTATGTTTTCAAATAACCATGTTCCAAAATAACATAGTTTGAATAATAAATTATACAAATCCTGCCTAAGAAAGAGAAGCATAATTCTCAGAAGCTGCATAAACTTTTATGCATGATGCTATGGCTTATCCCTTTTATGCAGAATATATGTGTATACGTCGCATATATTCTTTAAAGAGATATTTGCCTCAAGTTGTTTTTCCTTTTTTTGTTGTCAGTCATTGTTAACATGTTATGTCTTAAACAGTAGTGAGACACTCTTGGTCAGCAGTACTGAACTTGTCATTTTATACAGCTGGTCCTAAATCCTATGTGTAGGTCGATGCTGTCAAGCAACCATGACTGTACATTTTGGTATTGATTGGAATTGCTACATTCAATTCCTTCCTAACTCACATTTCTTCTCTTCCTTCCTTTGCTAAAAATGGGGAGAATTTTGAACATATGTCTTTTTTATACATGTGTCAGAAGAATTTGGTAAATTCTGACACCTTCTTAAGCACATGTTTAACATGCATATTTATTTGCATGTAACTACATTTCCAGATGCTTTAATTTTTGTAATACTTGAGGATTTTGCATCTTTTAAAGAAACGTTTCATGTATGCTTTTTTTTTCTTAATCATTAGATTTTCTATTATGAAATACCTGGCCCAATAAACAAGACAACAGAGCGACATCTAGCTATCAACTATGTTCATGATAGAGTTGTTTGCTGGTGGCCACTGGTCAATGATGATGCTTGGCCTTGGGCCCCCATTTCTTCTGAAAAGGACAGAGCCAATCTACTCCTCCTGGGTTATGCTCAAGGAAGACTAGAGGTAAATCTAAAACAAATATGTACATTTTAATAAAGTGTAAATAAAATAGGATTATTAGATTTTCTGTTCTGAAATAAATGTGAATTATTTTTTACCTATAATTTGTTTTTTCAAATATTCAGAAAAGGAAATTACGTATGAAATGAGATCCTAAAAAGTATCGTATCTAGAAGATACCCAGACAATTCCAGGGCTGGCTAGAATAGTATAGTAATTAAGAGTCTAGGCTTCCAGGTTCAAATGCTAGCTCTGCCACTATGTAACTTCCTGTCCTTGACCAAGTTACTAATTTGTATGTGCTATAGTTTCATTATTTGAAAAATATGGTTAGTGATGATAAATGAGTTAATACATGCATTTAGAGCAATATCAATATATAGTAAGCCCTGATTCACTGTTCACTATTATGACTCTTGTTATTATCATTATTAGTTCTATTATTACTGTTTACTCATGATATCATGCCTGTGAAAGCTTTTGTTACCAATTACTCTCTTCAAACCTCTGTCAATTAATGAACATTAGTTAAATGCCTATACTGTGTAAGTCCCTGTTGTGCCAGACCACATTTGGGGCAAGGATATTTAAGGAAAGCTATAGATTATAAGGTCAGGACAGTATCCTCTCAATTCATGATAATGGTTTGATCATTCATTCATATATGTGAACCTATGTGTATTTTCAGTTTGTACTAGTACTTTGGTTACAAAATTCTCTGTTTTTGTTGTATTATAACTGTAAAAAACAAGCTCCCTCTCCCCCACTTTCTTATGTAGGTAAAATAGTATGTTCCTGTATTTGCCTCTAAATCAATTATGTTTTAGACTTTTAAGGAGTACTTCCCAGAGTCAGCATTTGAGATAAGATGAATAAGTTTAAGTTTTCTCTATCCCTACCTACCTCTCCTGGTTTTATAAACTTTCAGGCTGTCTTTTTAAGACTGAAGAGTCCTAAAATTTGATGTGTAATATATATGTATGTATGTATATACGTCTTCTGTAAAAATCCTCTTAATCACCTATAGATTTTTTAGTTTCCTTTTTCTGGAACTTTTCTAATTCTGTTACAGTGACTAAAATCACTTGTAGTATCGGTGTGGATTTTATGAGGCTAAATAAGTGCTCTATTCCTACTCACTTCCTGTTCATGACCAATATTTTCTTGATCTTGAGCTCAGAAGTTCATTGAGTAAAAGACTTTGTTAAAATGACTTAATGTAATTAAGCTAATTAGAATTCAATTAAATGGGTGTCTTATAATAAAAGTAAAAATAATTAAATTAGCTTTTAGTTATATATTTTACAAATTACCTTTCTTTGAAATGAGTCCTTATATGAAATTAGGACTGCCCTAAAAGGATATACATAGTCTACATACCTCATTGCCTGGTGTCATCTAGATCGTGGACTTTGGAGTTGAACAAACTTGGGGTTGCCTGTTCGTTGCACCATATACTAACTATGTCACCTTAATCAAGTTTACTACCTCTAAACTTCTGCCTGCTTCTAGCTAATTCTGTGTTCCGTGGCTGAGTAGATCACCTACCCTATCTGACTTTAGTTTTCTTACTTTTAAAACAATAGATTTAATTCAGATAGGTCACTTCTAGGTCTTTTACAGCTCTAAAAAGTGCTTCTATGGATCCTGAAGCACAGATCTGATTTAGACATTGCCTGCCCAAAATTCTTCTGTAGATGCTAAAACCAAACTCAGCTTCAGCACTAAAAAACCTACCCTGATTGCCCTTGGCCTACCTTTCCAGTGTTGTTTCCTTCCATGTCTTAGTCAAATGAATTTACTTGCTGACTCATTATTTCCTACCTCTGCATGTGCACATTAATGGTATTTCTACTTGAAATAGCCATATCATTTAGCAATTACTGAGCATGACCATGGGGTAGGCACTGTATTTCATACTAGGGGATATGAATAAGAAACTATCCCTGCCTTCAAGGATCTTAGTGTCTGCCAGTAAGAGACAAATATGAAAATGTGTAAGTGCATTAAAGTGTTAATGATGCTGTGGGTAGAGTATGTGTAAGCTATAGTAAGACCCAATGAAAAGTGGTGGTCGATTCTACTTAGATATTAAGTAGGGAAAATTGAAGAGGCTTCCCAATGTGCTTCAATATGAGCTTGGCACACAGTTTTACTTTTTTTTATTATCCTTTCTTATCTAACCTTTCTAGAGTTGATATCAAAGTTTTACTAGCTCTGTGGAACAATCTGGCTAGCTTTTTCCTTTTCTCCTCTCTGCAACAGTACCAAAAGGAATTGATACTTGAAAGTTTGGTAAAACTTACCTGTAAAATTTCCTGGGTGTGATGTCTTTCAAGGAGGGTAGATTTTTTTCATTATTGATTCCATTTTTAAAGGGTTTTTTTTCTTTTGTTTCCATAATTGGTGTTTCTAGAAAATTATTCATTTTATGTATTTGAATATTTTTTCATAAAGTTGTATGCAAATTTGTACATGATTCTTTATTCACCACTGATTGTATAATTCCCTCCCTTTTGATCTTATTAAGATATATAATTCATTTTTTGTCAAGAGCTTTTGTTTTAGGAATTGGCCCTTTCAGTTATTCTATCTACTGGTAAAATTTGTAAAGATTTCTTTTTTACAGCTTCATGTGAAATTCATTATGCAAAAAGTATAATCTTGTAGAAGAAATGTCTAGGGCACTAATTGTTTTTCTTGTGTGTGCGTGAAGCCGTAATCTTTAAATATGAAGTAGAGAATTTTTTTTAGAATATCAGGAACCGAAAGTACCAGTTTATTAAAGTAGTATCCAGGCATATTCCTTTAATTTTTTTTTTTTTTCAGTAGCAGCCAAGGGACTTCTTGGACTAATCATCAGAATAAAGATAGAATATGCTCTTAAACCCTAAAATTCAAACTAAAAAATTAGCAGCCTTGTAGAGAAGAAATTTAATCAGTGGATCTATTGAACTATAGAATTTTAAAAAAACATTTATCATCTAGGTTCAATCAGAAAAGATAATAGCTTTTATTTGGACAATGGCAGGATCCTAGAGCAGTAGTTCCTAGCTTTGACAACACATTAAAATCACCTACGGGGCTTTTAAAAGAGGCCCACCCAGACCAGTTACATCAGAATCTCTGGAGGGGAGGGGAGTATCAGTATCTTTTATGGGTTCCCTAGGCGATTCTCATGTGCATCCAAGTTGAGAAACACTGCTATACGCAAACTTAAAAAAATGTTTCTGAGCCATCTTTTTTACATAACAGACCATGAAAAGGATAAAGCCCACATACTGAACCAAATGAGAGTTTTAACAGTAGATTCTAAGTAGAAAATTGGCTTACCAAGCAGCTAAAAACAAAACAAAATAAATAAATAAAAGAAACTCTGTGACTGAATTATGTGACTTTCAGAGGAGAAACATTTTAAAATTATTTTATGGATATTAGAAAACTGCTGGTCTAATTTCACACCACAGAACCCTAAGCAACAGTCCATTTTTTTTTTTTTTTTTTTTTTTTAAAAGATGAGTCTCGCTTTGTCTCCAGGCTGGATCTCAAGATCTTGGCTCGCTGCAATCTCTGCCTCCCAGGTTCAAGTGATTATCCTGCCTCAGCTTCCCAAGTAGCTGAGACTACAGGCACGCACCAACATGCCCAGCTAATTTTTGTATTTTTAGTAGAGGCAGGGTTTCAACATGTTGGCCAGGATGGTCTCGATCTCTTGACCTCGTGATCTGCCTGCCTCGGCCTCCCAAAGTGCTGAAATTACAGGTGTGAGCCACTGTGCCCAGCCCAACAGTGGCTTAATTAGAAGAACACAACAGAGAGAATTATGTAGTTTAAAAAAAACTTCTTTTGAAAAATATACAGTAAATAGTACAGAAAAAAATTTTTTATCAGTAAATTCATTTAAAATATTAATATATCTTAATGGTCTATATGTAGATTATCACATATAACATGGTAGTTGTTTTCATTTGAATTTCCACATATTCTTTTTGTTTTATTTTTCAACTTATTTTAGAATTGGGAGGTACTTGTGCAGGCTTGTTACAAAGGCATATTGCAGGTGGCTGTGGTTTGGGGTCTGATTGAAACCATCACCCAGGTACTGAGCATAGTACCCAGTAGGTAGTTTTTAGTCTTTGTCCTCCTCCCTCTCTCCCTGCTCTACTATTAGTCCTCACTGTATATTGTTCCCCTCTTTATGTCCGTGTATATAACCAGTGTTTAGCTCCCACTTATAAGTGAGAACTGTTGTGTTTACTTTTCTATCCCTGCATTAATTCACTTAGGATAATGGCCTCCAGCTGTATCCGTGTTGCTGCAAAGGACATACTTTCGTTCTTTTTTATGGCTGCATAGTATTTCATGGGGGGTGTGTGTGTGTGTATCACATTTTCTTTAGACAGTCCACCATTCGATGGGCACCTGGGTGGATTCCATGATTTTGCTACTGTGAATAGCACTGCAATGAATTTACAGGTGCATGTGTCCTTTTGGTAGAATGATTTATTTTCTTTTTGGTGTATACCCAGTAATAGGATGGCTGGGTCGAATGGTAGTTCAACTCTTAGTTCTTTGAGAAATTTCCAGACTGCACTCCACAGTGGCTGGACTAATTTACCTACCCACCAACAGTGTGTAAGTATCCCCTTTTTTCTGCAGCGTCACCAATTTCTGGTATTTTTTGACTTTTTAATGAAAGCCATTCTAACTGGTGTTAGATGGTATCTCATTTTGGTTTTGATTTCCATTTCTATGATAATTAGTGATTATGAGCATTCTTTCATATGTTTGTTGGTGATTTGTATGTCTTTTGAGAAATTCATTTCCTTTGCCTACTTTTTATAGAGGTTGTTTTTTGCTTTTTGATTTATGTTCCTTATAGATAGTAAGTATTAGACCTTTGTTGGATGCACAGTTTACAAATATTTTCTCTCATTCTGTGGGTTGTCTGTTTACTCTTTTTATAGTTTCTCTTGCTGTGTAGAAGCTCTTTAGTTTAATTA